TAGTTCCGTGTGTAGTATGTCCTTAATTTAGTTACGTTAGTTTTTATGATTACTTTCTTTGTTATATCCACGACTTTTATATCTTTTCTTAATATGTACGATTATTTTTATAGAACTATCGTCTTTATAGAGACTTATCTTGTTTAATTAGCTATACTGATTGTCAGGTTGATTTTTAGTTTCGCTTTAAGTACATAGATTACTCTGATGATCAGAAGTTATTATTATTAAGTGTGAGTAGACTGGTGTATCATGCTTTTGAGATGTATCAATTATAATTTAAAGACAATCGATCTAGAAAAACAATTAAAGATACATCACACGTGCACTACGTTTGGTATAGGTATCGAATATTAAAGAGCTCTAATGTTTGTTTGTTTTTTACACCTATCTTAAGCTCATATTTTGTTGATGGCTGAACTGACAAAAATTGTCGGTCTGCGCAGAAAGCTGCTGTATGCTTAAAGCATATTGCCAGGTAAAAGAAGATCTCTTGAATTTCGAGATTTCACGAGAAGAACTTACAGCAACGGTGGTAGAAATGTTCAACAGTTATTTTGAACCACGCGTCTCGGCCGCCGTAACTCCTCCCCACTTGTTGGTTATTTTGAGAAACTACATCATCATCAATTTCTTAAAGCACAAGGTTGAACTGTGACAACCCCGGGAAGGATAATTCTGAGCTGTGACAACCTCGGGAAGGATAATTCTGAACTGTGACAACCTCGGGAAGGATAATTCTGAACTGTGAAAATCCAGGGAAAGATAGGTCTGACCTGTGACAACCCCGGGAAGGATAATTCTGAACTGTGACAACCTCGGGAAGGATAATTCTGAGCTGTGACAACCTCGGGAAGGATAATTCTGAGCTGTGACAACTTCGGGAAGGATAATTCTGAACTGTGATAAATCCAGGGAAAGATAGGTCTGAACTGTGACAACCCCGGGAAGGATAATTCTGAACTGTGACAACCCCGAAAAGGATAAATCTGAACTGTGACAACCCCGGGAAGGATAATTCTGAACTGTGACAACCCCGAGAAGGATAATTCTGAACTGTGACAACCTCGGGAAGGATAATTCTGAACTGTGACAACCTCGGGAAGGATAATTATGAGCTATGACAACCTCGGGAAGGATAAATCTGAACTGTGACAACCCCGAGAAGGATAATTCTGAACTGTGACAACCTCGGAAAGGATAATTATGAGCTATGACAACCTTGGGAAGGATAAATCTGAGCTGTGACAACCTCGGGAGGGATAATTCTGAACTGTGACAACCTCGGGAAGGATAATTCTGAGCTGTGACAACCCCGAGAAGGATAACTCTCTCTGTATACTTAGACAAAAGGATTTTATAGTCCCGAAACATAAAGCAAGTAATCTAGCAAGCTCACGTTACAATTAGAAGATAAACATTCTAAACCTTTTTGATGGATAGCTAAAACACTACTTCATCGTCAGACTAAACTTGGATGTTTTTTTATGTATAGCTAAAACACTACTTCATCGACAGACTAAACTTGGATGTTTTTTTATGTATAGCTAAAACACTACTTCATCGACAGACTAAACTTGGGTGTTTTTTTATGAATAGCTAAAACCCTACTTCATCGACAGACTAAACTTGGATGTTTTTTTATGTATAGCTAAAACACTACTTCATCGACAGACTAAACTTGGGTGTTTTTTTATGAATAGCTAAGACACTACTTCATCGACAGACTAAACTTGGATGTTTTTTATGGATAGCTAAAACCCTACTTCATCGACAGACTAAACTTGGATGTTTTTTTTTATGGATAGCTAAAACACTACTTCATCGACAGACTAAACTTGGATGTTTTTTATGGATAGCTAAAACACTACTTCATCGACAGACTAAACTTGGGTGTTTTTATGGATAGCTAAAACACTATTTCATCGACAGACTAAACTTGGATGTTTTTTATGGATAGCTAAAACACTACTTCATCGACAAACTAAACTTGGATGTTTTTTATGGATAGCTAAAACACTACTTCATCGACAGACTAAACTTGGATGTTTTTTATGAATAGCTAAAACACTATTTCATCGACAGACTAAATTTGGATGTTTTTTCTTATTTGCAGCTGTTGTTCAATCAGTTTCACCTTAAGCCTCTTTCAGCAGGTTAGTCTCTAAGCGGCTACACCCTGTAAGTCGCTAGACGATTTGAATTCGACAAATATGACCTCTTGGTAAAGTTTGAGATTTTTCAAATAAATGATTCGATTATACACAGAGGACCTAAACAGAAGACGTTTAGTAAGTCTTCGACGATCAGCTTTTGTGGTATAATTCCCTGTAAACATATGTAAAGCGTATGTATTGAGGTACCATTGCCACGATCTCTAAACACCGTTGGCATTGTACACATCATTGACATTGTTTAATTAATAATATGCAATCGGGAAATACATGTGTGCTATTATGAAAACGAATATCATCATTGGTTATATGTACATTAGAAAATAACGAACAAGCCAATTAAAATGTTTCAATCATTCTATAATTCTATGTTTGATACATAAGTGGTCGGAGCTTTCAACCTTCTTTTTTTTTAGCTTTATAGCGTACGAATATCCCAGCGATATTTATTGAAAGATGACGATGGTGAAACGGTGTTTCTAAGTTAAGCAGAAAATGAACATTGCTGCTAAATAAAACAATTTATAATGCGAAAGTCCTGTTATTGTGTTATAAATAATACAGAAAATATTTGTTTTTAGCGCAAAGCTACACAATGGACTATCTTTGCTCTGTTAACCAAAGAAAACAAATCACCGGTTGTAGCACAGCAAATCCATAAACTTACCGCTGACCAACTTGGTTATCAAGAGAAATTATTGCGGAAATACATCCCTCCTCAGTGGCACAACGGCATGTCTGGGAACTTACAACGCTAGAATCCGGGTTTCGATACCCGTGGTGGGCAGAGCACAGATAGCCCATTGTGTAGCTTTGTGCTTAATTACAAACAAGCCTTATAATTTTGTCAGATTGACTTTGTACTCGAGGTATATACGACAGACAGCATATAAGAATAGGACAAACATGTTAGATCCAGTACACCCCCCCACTTCCGGTGGTTCAACGGTAAGATCGAGGGTTTATAACGTTAACAATAGTGCTTTGATAACCGGGGTGACAGATCACAAGTGTAGCTCTATGCTTAACAACAAACAAACAAATGATCCAGCATGTGTCCACAAAGGTCTTATTAATCCTTATAACATCCACCAGTGACATCTGTTTGGAACTTGTGTTGAAATCAATTGATCGAATAACACTTAATATTCATCACTCAATTTTAAGTAAAACGTTTCGATATCGTGAGAAACGTGGAATACACATATCTATATTGTACTAAGCATTTAGTAATAACATTCACACATTCTATACAACTTATGTTATCATAAACTCACCTTTTCCAATTTCAGAAGCATTGCATTATTAGATTGTCCTTTCGTCTATAAACAAGCTACAGTAAATCATGAAGTTGATAAGTTTGGTAGTTAAGTCAATTCCAAGCAGCGTTCTGTGAGGTTTGTTGTATAGAACAGCGTAAAAAAACTTCAAAATTAACGTCCCCTAAAAAAATTTTTAAAATGTACATTTAGTTGCATAACAGATTACACGAGGTTTGGTCCATAATATGTAATTCAGTAGAAAATCGGGAGTGAGACTTGTTGAAATCAGAGTATACGACAACCATAACAAGAATATTACCACTGAGACGCCTCACTAGGTTGTTTGTGCAACTCTAGCAATCGGGATGATCAAAACCTCCGTGAGCATGCTCCTTCCAACATCATCCTTGTAGGACCATTTTCACCAACAGAGCTAACAATACCCGGTAAAATAGGGTGCTATTCTAGCGGTATCTGTTGGCTAAATATGGAACTAATATTGTTGTTTATTTTATTCATAAATGTGAAAATAATGGGAAAAACACTAACAGACGTCATGCATATTGGTAGAACAGTTGTTTTTTTCTTCATTATCGTTATTGATATTTAAGTCCATATATCAAAGTTTTTAATAAAATTATATTATTAATCAAAAATATATCTATTAAATAAATACAAATTATATTACACGCGTTTTGCGGGAATTCTTTTGTTTCTTTTCAAAAACTTTAAATTTTTTAATAGAAACAGTTCATTAAAAATTATTCAAATTAGTGAAAAGCATCGAATTATTACTTTGTATAATTTTTGACTGAAATTTATTCGACAAAAACCACCTTATTTTCAGCAGTACTGTCGCTGTCGTGTTTTATGTATGGGCCTGCTGTTTTTCCAACGTGTACTTTCCATACCTAATCATCATAGTTCGAAAAAAAAACATCGGTGCCTTGGTTTAGTGCTAAGCCTAATTTTTCAGTTGTTAGTTTAATTAAGTGGCTTCATTTGTAGAAATTAAATTTCTCAAACGAAATGACCTGCGTGGAAGGCTCACAACATACGTAAAACTCTAGTGTATATACTTTTTAGTTGTTGTACAATCAAGATATATTATTAAGAAGTTATCTCGCACAAATTTTACATGAAACTTCGCCAAACGTCAGGGAGTGAACGATACGTGATAACAATTAAGATGAACTGTATATTTCTACCTTTATATGTAATATTACAAAGAAGTTTTATCTGAAGCATATTAAAATAAGTGTTGATCTTGTATAGGTCACAACGGAGACAGTTTTATCTGAAGCATGTTAAAAGAAGTGTTGATCTTATACAGGTCACAACGTAGACAGTTTTATTTGAAGTATGTTAAACGTGTTGATCTGGTATAGTCACAACGTAGACAGTTTTATCTGAAGCATGTTAAAAGTGTTGATCTTGTATAGGTCACAACGTAGACAGTTTTTCTTCAACCAAAACGTTTTCACTGCCCGTCCATGTATAAGGCAGTAGTGACGACATAGCTTTACAAAGTTCTAATTAGATGGTATAAATGAAAAGCAGTGAATACACCAAATAAACAAGGGTATTTTATTGATTAAAGACAAGCGTGGCGGTATTTAACCGCTACATGGGTGCCAGCAGAAAATCCTCTCTCGTTTTTAGAGATATATTCCCAAAATTATACGAAATTATTTTCACTTTATTGTTACTAGCTGTTACTACTACTAAATCTTGATAGCCGATTCCTCTTTCTGCTAGCATTAAGACGGCCTAATAATTGAACATTCACAAACAGAAAAGTCTCGTTAAACAGAAGAGAGCTACAATCATTACTGTTCGATTGTAAATGAGATTAGTTTGTTAGTAAATAGTTTCAAAAAGCCGAGTCTCTAGAAAACGAACTAAAACTACCTTCCAGTAATTATATGTGAACAAATATATTTAATATAATTGTTAGGTACACTAAATGATGTTTTAATTGTCAACCATACGCATAATAAACAGGTATTATCAAGCAAAGCAAATAGGTACTGTAAAACACATGCTTAAGCACAGAAATATCTGCTAAGTACGCTTTTAAAGCCAAAACCACTTTAAGCACTTTTGCTTTGGTTTAAATAAACTGGAATTTATAATCTTTTTTTTTCTCTTATACTTTCCTTTCTCGAAATATCAGGTGTTAAATACTGCAGTGATACAGATAATTATGTATATATATATATATTATCTATCTAGTTTTTTATATATATACCGTCTATCAAATCTTTGATATAATTAAGAACTATTTTACCTGTAATTATCAACATAATAGTGTGGTTTAGAAAAGACGTGATATTAAACGAAGTTAGGATTTTGGAAAATATTCTAAGAACAAAAATGCCTAAAAAGAAAACTACCATGTATTGAATCAAAAGTTTCTTTCATATTTCGTAGGTCTAAATAAATCGAGCTATGATGATATAACAATATACGTTTAAAACTACGAAGCTTCGGAAAGATATTCAAACAAACAAAAAACAAATTTAGAAGGCTACAAATATTCGAAAAAGTTATATTTTCTAAAAGCTGAGTGTTGCTGAAAATTAATTTCTGAGAAATGTAGACATCCTATTAACAGTATCTTAAATTGTAACTTCACTGCTTCTAAAACGTAAAATGTTTACAACTATCGTGTAAAATGACCGTTATATAAGAAACAAAGACACGTATAACTTATACCAGACCTCTGTCGGAAGAGAAAAACAACCGTAAAACTGATGGTAAATTGTATCATTTTTCTACAAGAGACAATAATTCTACCAGTCTATTCTAAACCTACAGTTTGGACAAATATTTAATACATGAAACACACATACACACACACATATATATAAAACCCCAAAGCTGAGCAATGACGAAGGTTTTTATGCGAAAGGCTTCTTCAATTTGGTGTAAGTTTTCAAAGCCTTTTTCTTTTCAAATGCCTTCTTTAGATTTCTGGGCTTGTTTCTGTGGGCTTTCTTACCCCAAGACATCTTTTGGTGGCCAGCCGTGAGTTCGTGTGAGTAGAGGTGAGGCTTGTTGTGATAATTACTATGAGTTGGGTGATGCCTTTGCTCGGTGTTGCTAGGGGTGTGTAAGTTAACATGGTGCCCGTGGTGACTATTGCTATGGACGTGTGGTCTGTTGCTACGGTGGTGTAGGTTGTCAAGGTGATGTTGATTATTATTGCCATGGTGATGTTGCTGGTGGTCTTTGTTATGGATCCCTTGAATGCTGCCGTGATGAGACACAACCTTTTCAGATTTCAAGTGGTCTGCCAAAGCCTTCCCTTTAACCACAAGAGAAAATAACCAAATGGTTTCATAAATTTTGCCATGACGGAAAATACCAAAGTCATAGTGATTCGTAAAAGAAACTCCTTAAACTAACAGTGAATATATATTTCAAATAAAACATGCTACCTTAACTACACAGCTATTGTGACACATGATAAAACTAAAATACTCTTAATGCTTGGAGATGGCTTGAATGGGTAATGAAGAAAAACTTTAATATAAGTTTAACATAACAACAAATGTACAAAGTTTTGTCATCATCAGGTACAAGTAGTTTACACTGACACAGATATATATATACACAGTATGGAACAAAGAGGTCACATGACCGGATATTGCTGCACAACTTAGAAGAGATATCTTGGCACCCCAGGGTGTTGGTTTAGAATAAGGTTGTTTAGTTCAATTAAGATGGATTGCTTGATTTTCCGTTTGTTCATGTTTGTTTTTGTTTTTAAAATTACTGTGTTTTTAATAGATATATCTGGTAGATTCACAGAACACAATA